GGTGTGTGTGAAAAGAATAACGAGATCACTAGCAGTTGCTTTTACCGTTTCGATGTAGCATTTTCATGTTTTGATCACTTACTTAATTAAAGTTATTGATGAACAAAACAAAATTCTAGGACCATTTTAAAGGTGCCTGGTTCCACTTTGCTAGACTGTAGGTAACAAATGAACTCATAATAAGTTACATTGTTTTAAATTTGCTTGGAAACCTGGAAACTAATTGGCTTCTGTAATCAACACCTCAAGTAACATAGGTTACGATTCATTTACCCATCGTTGAAATTGAAAGAAAATAACCATATAACACAGTTGTAGCCACACTAATAGTTAGATGGTTAGATAGATAGATAGATAGATAGATAGATAGATAGATAGATAGATAGATAGATAGATAGATAGATAGATAGATAGATAGATAGATAGATAGATAGATATACATCATGATGCTGTGTCGCTCAGTACGTTTCACAAAAGGAAGGGGGAGGGAGCTGGTATATCTTCAAAATCTGAATCAGGAAACGGAAGCGTTGTACATAAATTATGGAAGAGAATGCATGTTTTGATTTGAAAGAAAACACTGTTTTCATTATGCACTTTGCTCTTCTCCCCCTTAGCTTGGGATTCCATTGCATCGTCAAAGTTGGCAACGGTCCATCATTATTATCTCTTTGAGAATACACTTTTGAAGAAAAAATGTTTTTCAAAAATAAAAAAGTTGTAGGAGGTGATCTTTACAAAGCACGCTCTCGCATAAGTGTGTTAAGAATGGAAAAATGCCCACATTTGTCTCTTTCCTGTCGTGGGAAGCCACATATCGATTGTCTCGCTTTGGCCAAGTGAGAACATGGTAATTTTGTTTTCCACCGACAATTCTCCTACGGGAAGATGATGAAGTCGTGACAAAGTCATTTGTTGGCCATCGGCGCTGCTTGCGCAAACCTTGGGAATATTCGGGCCGTGTGAACTGCCAGAGTTCAGCAAACACCAGCAAAAGAGACGGTGCAATTCTAATTTTTAACCAAAATCATCCTGGCTCTCCGAATGCAAACTCACGTAATCGGATTTTTCCGAAGCAAACACGAAACAGCCAACGCACGAATCTGGAGCACTTCCGCTTCGCCTCACTTCAGAGAATAATTTTTGGGGCCAATTTTTGACAGCTCGCGCTGTGCTAAAATCTTTCAAATTTTCATCTTACCAGAGATGCATTGGCATGGCTAGACCAGCGATTTCTTAACTGTTTCTGTTTTGATCTGAAAGGAATTTAATGTTACACTATATTAAATATATATATATATATATAATGTATAATCATACAACCAAAAAACCCTACGAATTTCTAGCAATGGAAATCGAATTTGAACCTGTAGTCCTTCTCTCCTATACCTTCCCCCTATCTCTCTCTCTCTCTCTCTCTCTCTCTCTCTCTCTCTTTCTGTGTGTGTGTGTCTGTCTGTTTGTGTCTTTCTCCCTCTCCCTCTCCCTCTCCTTCTCACCCTCCCTCTCTCATTACTTCTCTCTATATCTCTAAGTATGTTTCTGTCTATTTACAATTTATTATCTCTCTGAATCTCTGTATGATTTCTTCAAGTTCTATTTCCCTCTGCAGTATGTTCTCAGAGTTGACAGTTAGTCTTACACGCAATAACCATTTTCTTTTTAATTTAACAATATAAAGATAATTAGCTGGATCTGCCTTCAAAGGTTGCTTCCTTGTGAATTGTTTTGAGGCTTCAGCAATTGCTACAAAATGAAATTCATAATTCCTGATGAGCAACACTGTTTACTCTCTTACGACCACGGGCCTAATGGAGTTCATTTTTAAAAGATGCTCTTTCAAAGGGCACACTAT